GTGCTGTGAACCTGGTCTATTGGGCTAGCATCCTACTATGACAGAAGACTGAATATCCTGTAATATATCTTGATGTCACATTCTTATACCCTGGGACCTTAAATGACAATACAGAAGTTTTATAGTGAGGTTCCTAGGTCTAGTATTATCTGTTATGACTGCACTTTAGGGGAGTTGCTGCACTTATGTGCATGATGACCATCTTATGTCCTTTGTCACACCTAGTGGGCTCTCTGTAGACCACATAAGCTTCTTGAAGGTAAGTTTCCTCTGCCACCAACAACTTGTAATACTTGACATATTGGGCATGTGCCACAGTTGAGTGTGTCATGAAGCATTGATTTTTCTAAATAAGCACATATCTCTAGCAGGTTAATCCTTGTTAGCTTCTAAGCTGTATTTGCAAAGAACTTGTGCAAGAAGGCAGCTGAGCTGAGGTTTTAGAATAAACCTCTTTTTTCTTCTTTTTTTCTTTTTTTGGAAAAGATATATTGTTTTTCCCATATGGCCTTAAAAAAAAAAGGGGGGGGGAAAAAAGAAATTTGAAGTGACTTTTTTTTCTGAAAAAAGAAAAATGAAAGCACAGTCTTTTGAGCATTTTCATGCAGCTGTAGTGCATACAATTGTATAAATAATACATTTGCCTTTCCCAGCCCCCATTAGCAGCAGTAGGAATATTGACTCTTTTCTGCTTTGGCAGTTAAATCAGTGTATGAGAAGTACTCACTGCTGCAGTGTATTGATGTTAAAAAAAATTCTCCAGAGAATATAGGGCTCATTTTTTCAGCAATTACCAGACTGTTGCCTACTGAAAGTCTCAAATGTAGGATATTCATGGTTCAGTCAGACAGTGCAAATGTTCTGGTGAATGTGAAAACTATTGCTCCAAAGGAGAATAGATTAGAATGTCCGTATCTGGTTTTCTACTATTTTCTGTGGGATATGGTCCCTCTAATTCCATTCCTTGGATGCATCATTTTGAAATAATTTTTTGTTAGAAGATTGATTGACTTTCTAAAGGAGGAAAAAATAAATTGATTTGCAAATTGATTTCTTGCAAATCAACTTGCTGAATCAATTTTTTTTTTTAAAAAAAGGAAGTAATTAAATCTAATGCTGCAAGTATTGGTGTGCAGATAATAACTGAGGGCTAATGTGGGACCGTGGGATATTAATCAGAATTTAAATGTCTGAAACCTAAAAATAGAGTAAAACTAATACTTTGCCTTCTTGTAGAATACTTGTAAAACCTGTTTTTACACATACATCTGTGTTAACGCTAGCAGTGTACATTTAATTGTTTCTACTCAATAATGGGTGCAAGTTTGAAGGAAAATCAGCATTCCATATTACAGAGGTTTAAGAGTTTACACAGTAAGAGAAAATCCCTATTCCGAAGAGCTTTAACTTAAAGGTACTAGACAGGCAAGGGCCACAGGCCAGCTAGAAAAGCAGAATTCTGCAGAAAGTTGTCATTGATCTGTTCATCATTGCTATCACGGCCCTATATGATAAAACACTGAATATGGTTATTCATTTGGACTTGGAAATACAGCAGAGGTCAGGATTAGAATTCAGAATGATCCTGAAAGCATAATCCTCTACAGCATTGGATGACATTGGGAAGGAGAAGCTGCAAGATGCTACATATGTGCAGGAAACTAATTCCGCACTGGTGCAGGATGGGGCCTGGTGCGAACGCTGACGAAAACAGCCATTCTGGAGAAAGGGCCTGGAGCGGCAGAGCAAGGCAGGCATTGACCTGGGGGTTTAAACTGAAGCATAGCATGAAATAAGCTTTCTGCTCAGAGTTAATGAGGCCACCAGTTGGCTAGTTTGGGCACCAAACTACAGTGAAGATGTGGAAAAATGGAAGAGTGCTCAAAAGAGAGCAAAAGAGGTCTAAAAAAATGTAACCCATGAAGAAGAGCTGAAAGAACTGAGGATGTTTAGTCTAGGGATGTTTGAAGGAGTTTTTTTTTTTTTTTTTTTTTAAAGTCTTTAAATACATAAAAGGTTGTTGTCAAGATAGATGGAACAAATATCCATAGGTAGGAAGAATAAAGTTTTGGAATGGATTGCTTGTAGAGTTTGGGAACTTCAGATTTGAAGACTTATAAGAATGGATTAATTGATCTCCTAGGTTAAGGAAAGCAAAGTGAAAAATCAAAGGTTTTTGATAGCTCTGTAGAAATGAGTGAATTCATTATTTTTTCATGAGAGCTACTCCAGCACAGTGTTCACATTGTGCCCTTAGTCTACTTTGTCAGGCGGGGGGATAATGACCCGTGGAAAGCCAGCACAGCAGAGCATCTGGCCTCTGAGTTCACATCCCAGCTATTCGGTTCTATCCTTTCTAGATAAGCTCCAAGAGCCACCAAAGTTAGAGGGGATAAATGGTTCCTACTGACTCAGCTCAGTTCACCTTCTTGTTACTAGATGCTCCAAAGCCTTATTTGATGCAGATGTTAACTTTTCATGTATTTTAGCCATGTTTACTATTGACCTAGGTTGAATTGCTTCTTTTTTATCCTTACGCTCGGAGCAGAGAATATGGATGTCACTTGCAGTGTGGTGATCTAAAGACATGATATTTGAGTTCTAGTGGTTCTTTCTGTTCCTGCTTTAGGGAGAAAAAGGCCTAGATGGGCTCCCTGGAAAGCCAGGCATGGAAGGGAAACAGGTATGTGACAATTACTCTGCAACTTTTCTTGGGAATGACTGGATGCTGACTCTAAAACTGGGATTTACCTCGGCTAGCTATTGTGTCATGAACGGACCCCATTTCACTGGTGGGTTTTAGACTCCTTACTCTAATGATTCATTCTTGCAAATTGTTTTTAAATTCAGATTTATACTGTAATGTAGTATACATGTAACAGAAAAGCAGATATTTTAACCATCATAAGAAACATGCTTGTCTTAATTTAAGACATACAAAAACATGCATAAGAATTCAGTTGTGTGATGCAGACTTTTATAAAGGTGTCTTCTTTCCTGACACAAAATTGAAAGGAGGAGAACAGAACTTTGTGTTTGGTTTGTTTTCACAAGAAAGATTTGGATCTATTAGCATTTTTAAGCCAAGCTGATGCCGGAAAGGTCATGTCCCTTGTTCTTCTGATTGTTTGTATCAACCAGCAAGCTGCTGCTGACTAGGTAAATAGCACCCTACCTCTCTGTATCTGAAAGCCACTCTCCGTAGATCCTACAAGACGTTGTGGGATCCGTTGTTTGGAGCTATCCCTTACGAGAGAACCAGTCCCAAAGATCATCTGCTCTAAATAGCAAAGGATGGAGTAAGAAGCAGAGGCTGAAAAGTGATGCGGCTTGCCAAAAGTCATGCAGCTAATGATTGCCAAGCTTGAGCCTGAAGCCTGTAGCTCCGGCGTCCTATGTTGGCAGCCTGTTCACTAGCCCTTGCCATTTCCCTCTTCAGAAAGGCCTGTTTGGAGCTGTGATTTTTAGCCTGCAGATGTGGAGGAGCTGTAGGAGGCACACAGCCTCCTTGGGACAGATTGCCTCCAGGTATTTAATTCTGCTGCTTACACAGATGAAGCAGAGAGCTCCCTGGGTCTGCTCTGAACATGGCTTTGAAGGGCAGCATCCACATAGTGCCCAAACCTCTTGATCTCACACTTTTGTCAGCCAGGCTTTCAGTTTGATTTTGTTGAGAAGTAATTTTGCTTCCATATCAGATATATTTTTCTTTTCCCAAGGCAAGTGATAGCATCGTTAGCAGACTTAATCTTCATTAAAAGGTACATCCTCCTCTCTGTGAGGAAATTTGGATTCCAGTGCACTGAATTTTGTTCTGCTTCTCTGTGGGAGATTTGACAGTTAATCATAGCTTTCTGTTGCTCATCCATGGTTTAACCTATGCTGTGAACTATTTCTCTAGTTAGTGTTTATCACTATCCTTATAAGATGAAAATGTTTTTCTGTGTTAGGTGCAGCACTGGAATCTCAATGAGCTGTGTACACTGTGCCTATTATGTTGTTTACTGGACTGGTTTATACTTGTGGTAAATGTGGATGAAGTGAGAAGGGGTGCAGAGGGATGAGAAGGTGGATGCTGATTGTTTGCTACTTCTAAGAAATGATTTCTCCAAGTGGCACACTATTACAGAAACTGGGTTATTCTGAAGCTTTCCTGCTTTTTCATGCCTAGACATCTAGTAGAAGAGGAATCTTTATGCCTGGATTTTATCCTTATTTTTTTGGCTTTAGCACTGATGTGCTCTGTGAATTACAGTCCTCAACCAACTGAAGTTGCACTGCTGTTATTGCGCCTGTTGTGCTATGGCCATCCTCATTCTCCTTTCTTACTACTAAGTTGGGCCAAAGGAATCCTGTGTGTTTTATCAGCCCCTGCCCCAGTGCAATTTACTGTTGGTATCCAAATCTGCAGCCTTATTCTTCATGAATACTCTAATGATGTCTTATAGTAGGTCTGGTTGATAACCTGATGTCCATCAATCAAGGCCTTTTGTGCATAAAACCATTCCTTGCTCTGAGTTCTTTAATTAAAGCTTTAATTAAGGCTTGTTTCCTTTCCTGCAAGAATAACTGGACTGCAGAAGACTTGGCCAGTCTCCCTGCAGACTGATGTCTGTTCTGAGGAGGCAAATCCTAATGCACAGTTCACCTGTTTGCAGGGCCCTGCTGGCAGCCCAGGCCCTCCAGGTGCCAGTGGAATCAAAGGAGAAAAGGTGAGCTGGGAAGGGCCTCATGGGAGGGGGTTGGAAGCAAGGTTGGGAATTCCAGCTTAGGCCCCCGTTTCTCTTACATATAGAAATGTACTGATATAGTGATTTTGCTTTAATATGAGATGGGTATGAGAGGTAAATCAGGCCTATATGAAGCACCTCTACTATTGTATCTAAACTTCTTGATGAGAGTAGAAAGTAGTATAATTTGACGCAGAAAAACTTGATTTAAGAAAAGTGTACAGAAATACTGTTGGGTCAGCAAGAATTCATGTGGGGGCTGGTTCTTTGGCACAGCTCATGTATGACTAACTCTAAAAGCAAGAATTGAATGAGAGTCACAGCCCAGCCCTCTTACCTGCATAATAATTATTCACTGCTGTTGCCAGGTATTTTTACCTTGGTATTTTACAGAGAGTTTTTAGAGTTTCCAGGGCAGCCTTACATTTCTCAGCTCAAGCTGACATTGGCATTTTGGTATTTCCTACCTGGTTATTCAGCATCAAACAACAATTCTGTGCAATTTGGTTTTTCTTTCTGCTTTTCTCCAAGAAGGCAGAGATCAGAGGCAAGCCACTGTATTTTCCTGGCACATTAGCCAAGTGATAAGAAGTAGAAAGTTCACTTTGTGCATAGGAATGTGTGAAGCAGAGAGCAGTCATGAGCTCAGAACACTTCATCCTTATCACTAAAGTGACTGCATTTGGACCTTTGACAGATACTTAGCACCTTGTTCCCACTGCTTTTACCAGGGCTGACACTTGTCTCTTTAGCTCTTCTGTCATCGCATGGATTATGTAGAATAAATAATAAAGAGTAATTAAGCTTCTTTCATTAGGAAGAAGGAGCATGAAAGGTATATTAGGTCATTCAGGTTGCTATATGAGTAAGAAAGAAATAGGAAGTGTGTGAAAGGAAGCTGTATGATTTTTGCACCAGTCTGTACCTAAAGTAAAAGAGAGACCTTTTGGAGGCTTAGGCTTATAGCGTAGTAAGTGACAGACATGAAGATACATATGCAGGAATAGATTGAGAGGCTAAAAGGCCACATACAGCATGCATGTAGCATCTCCGTGTCCTGCAAACACTTACAGCATGGCCGTATTATAAAATGACTTGGGGGAAAATGGCATCATTTCTTGCCTCTCCTTTTTTTTTCCTGCAAATACTTTTTCTTGTTGCAAAAATTATTTTGGTTCCTGAATTTCAGTCCTGAAGGTTCCGTTAGGGATCTGAGCATAAAGTAGGTTTTTCTTTGATATGTGTACACCGACTATAAGATTTCTGAAACACAAAGTTGATGTTATGGACCCCCATGCATCATTCATTTTAAGTCAAGAAATGCTATTGAAATTAATGTATAACATCTCAGTGAAACAGAAGGCAATCAATTCCTGCATGTATACACTTGCAGGACAGAGAAAATTGAGTTAATTAGGATTGCATATTCATATCTGTGTCTGTCTATTTTTACATTTTCTTCTGTGTTTCCATGCAGGGTGAACCAGGGCTTCCAGGGTTACCAGGCACTTCTGTAAGTATTTAGTTAGTATAGCTTAACAAACATTGTAAGCTATATTGCATAAGAAAGGAAGGTGGAAGGAGGATTTGAAGTGTTTGTTAAATGAGAATGGATTTTCAAACAAAGTGAATTTTTTTAGAAAAAGGAAGAATTTTTTGAAGGAGAAATGTGATGTGTGCCAACAAGGAGATGCACTGCCACAGCCTTGGGAGATTTTGAAATGTGAAGATTAGGACTTGAAGAGACAAGGACAGTGTTCCCTAAAGTGTATTGGAGTGAACGATGATGTGACATGATTGAGTGTCTGCTGGGACAGATGCTGAGCTGATTCCCAGCAGCCTTTGGAAAGCAGAGACTGTGGAAGTTAGAAAAACAAATGGAAGTTCAGAATCGACTTGAAATACTGCGGGTTGTAAGAGTTGGGAGGGGAAAGGGAGCTTCTGCTTCCCTGAGTGCCTTCTATGTGGAAAAAGCCATGGTGCAGTACGAAAAACACAGAGCTGCTGTGCTGAAATCAGGAAGATTGTGATGAAATAGCAAACTAAGAAATAGGAGAGACATTATTTTTGTTTGTGTTCTTTTTTCTTTTTTTTTTCTTCTTTTTTCTTTTCTCTCTTTTTTTTTTATTTATCCTTTCTTTCTTTTCCCCTGTTTTTCTCTGACACAAGTTTTACATTCCTCTGTGCCTTCCTCTGCCTTCAATGGAACCTTCAGTGATTCCAGTGGTATCACTAGGAGGTTCAAATAGGTATCCAGATCTTAGTATTGCTTATGCAAAGAGGTAATGTTTAAGAAGGAGAATGTTTGCTGGAAAGTATGCAGCAAGGAGGTCTAGAATTAGTTCTGAAGTTGGAGATTATTCCTTTTACTTTCCAAAAAGGGTTAAAATTGAAAGACAGCGATGTCTAGCACTCTAGATGGAAACTATGAAAGAAACATTAACACTAATAACATTAACTAGGACACTGTTCTAAAGCGCTGAGCACGAAAGACAAGTGAGAAGCTCCCTGCTCATCATGTAAAAGGCAGCAGGCAGTTTTGTTACTTGGAAAGTGGTAGAAACGAAGAAGGAAGAGAGTGCTCAGAAGACCTTTCTGGGGAAGAGCATCTTACCGTTGAGTCAAAGTATGTATGTGAAATCAGTAATGTGTCAGGAGCTGCCAATAGATTTTGAAGGATCTGCAAATAAGAACCTTGGAAATGAGCAATGCTTTGTCCTAAAGCTCATGGGAAGTACCAGAAGGCAAGTGGCGAAGATGCTGAAAGACGGACAGCTCTCAAGCTTATTACTTGCATGGAGGACCTGAAGGAATGTCTAAATTTTTGCCTTGCCTCTGAAGTAGGCCTTGACGCTTTTTCCATTGAGCATGACTGTGTTTAAAATAAGTCTGGGTTTGGGGATTTACTTACTTATGCTGAGGAGGTAGTGAATTCAGTTCTTACTGTTTATGCAGCTACACAGATGTGTTAGTCACTTTATGAGCAACTGGGTCAGTAAGCCTTTAGCCTAAATACATATGCCCCAGCCTGCAATAGGATTTGAGTCATGGCAATCAGCATGTGTACTGGGGCATGGGGAAGAGAGGAAAAGGCACTTTTGGGGCAGTTACACCCTGACATTTCTGTGTCTTACCTCTTTTTCCTCTTTGGTAACTCTGCATTTCCCTTACAGGTGCATACTGAAGGCATAAAAGGAGAGCAGGTAAGAATCATTTGTTAGGTCGGATTTTGCTTTAAAATGCTGCTTCAAAATTAAGACTGCAAAGTTAAGGGGGCATTGTCAGGACATCAAGAAACAAGCTCTCCTACTTACATTGGAAGGAGTAAATGGGAAAAGAAAGAAGATAATGTCCTTGGATGCAGTGAATTTAACATGAATGTAAAGTGTAAATTGGTAAGTGTCAGCTAGCCAGAACAATTCTGCAAATCCAGGCAAGTGTTAATAGAAAAGTGGAACTGTATTTTGAGTTTTATGCTCAGCTTGTCTCTGAATAGGAACACTTGAACAAAGAAAGGACACTGGTTTCTTCGGTCTTAGTCCTATGTCAACAAAAATGTGAATACTAATACATATATTTTGAGTTTGTGTGTGTAATTTGTATTTTAATTTTATTTAATATAATGACATCAATTATATGCATAACACTTTGAAGCCCTTCATAGTTGTGCTGGTTCTGCTGGTTCACTTGGGTGATGGAGTGTTTTTTTCCAGCATTGAATTCTGGCCCACATCATTTTCCAGGAATATTTAAGATAACCTAGTGCCTTTGGTGGAGTTACTACCTTTGAAAAACAGAGCTGCTTGTGGATAAATACCTGCAAAGCATGGATGAATTGACCTGTATGCAGTCTAATAGATGCTGGTAATTAAAGTAGCCCTAGGATTAAGGACAAAACCAACTGGTCTCTGCATTGGCTTTTTGGGACCTATGAGGAAAAGAATCATATAGAACCTGTACGGGTGGCCAGTACAAATATTATGTCCATGTATTTTTTCATTTAGTTATTTTATCACATATTTCTCTATTTCACTTATCTTTGTAGGGAGAGCCTGGCCCACGAGGACCACCAGGTCAGCCTGGACTTCCTGGACCTCCAGTGAGTAGTTCTTCCTTATTTACAAAACCCAGAAACTCAACTTTGGACTAGACAGTGGGCTGTATGCAAGATCTTATGCCGTGTTCGGGTATTAACTGCTTAAACACCCTCAGCTTTCTGCTTTCTTCATGGATTAGAGGTTCTCCTGTTGTGGACAGCCACTCTGAGCACTGACAGCAAGTAGGACATGGGTGCTGATTACACAGAAATAGATTTTGTCTCAAGGTTGTTGTCCTGCAGATGATGTTTATTTCTTTTTCTGTTTATTTTTGGGCTAAATGGGCATTCAGCACATCTCAGGGGGATGCTCATTGGTAACTTGCAGGTCATCATGTAATGAAGTGCAGAGATGAGCAATAAAGTAGAAGAGTGTGTGTTTATGCATCTCAGCAGGCAATATAACACACTTTTTTACAGCAGTTTAGGCACACTGACATTCTTACTCATGGCTTAATTGCAGCTTCTTCTAGCTATATTTGATAATGCAACTCTATCAGGAAATCTCACTTCAAACTATCACTGATGCCTTATTTTCACAGTATGTTTTCAATTCTCAGATGTTTGTTGTATTTCACTGTTGATTAGGTTTTGTAAAATTAATGGCATTGTGAAGATGCATTACTGAGTTAAGGCTGGCTTTAATTATGTAATTTAACTACAGTTGTGTGCTCCGCTTTTCATCAGGGCATTGCCACTTTTTTTCTACCTTGTTTTCATATTCCGTTCTGCTCACAGGACATTTAGAAAGAGAAAAAAGGGCTAAGGCAAGGTCAGATAAGATGTTCTGCTTGCAGGGCGCTTGACCTTTTGGGGCCAAACTCTTCTCTGTGGTGGCCAGTGACAGGACAAGGGGTAATGGGTACAAGTTGAAACACAGAAAGTTCCACCTCCATATGAGGAAGAACTTCTTTCCCGTGAGGGTGACAGAGCCCTGGAACAGGCTGCCCAGAGAGGTTGTGGAGTCTCCTTCTCTGGAGATCTTCAAAACCTGCCTGGATGCCACCCTGTGCCACGTGCTCTGGGTGTCCCTGCTGCAGCAGGAAGGTTGGACTAGATGATCTCTGGAGGTCCCTTCCAACCTCAACCATTCTGTGATTATGTGACCTTGCAGGTTTTCTGCAAAACTGTATGTACTGTAATGAATATTTCCTTTAACATGTCATTATCAGGTAGGGGTTGTCTAGATAGCCATACAGTAACAGTAGCACAGAAGAGCTAGGACATGGTTATATCGTTCATTAGTTATTCCTTCTAAGTTAACTTGATAAATATATGTTCATTTTTAAAGGGAATGGCTGGTCCAGAAGGCAAGCCTGGGGTCCCTGGTTTACCAGGTCAACGGGTGAGTTGAAATTTTTATTTGTAATACATCTCAGTAGGCTGTGGATAAGGCACTTGTACCCATTTTAAGCATATTTTTCTGCCCTGTTTTCTACTTTTTTAAGCTTCCTTGAGGCCTGCATCCTTTCTTCTAGAGCTTCTTTATGGCCTTGCAGTTTTCAGTACCTTTTGGAGTCCTCTGTGGGTTCCCTGGAAGTCTTTCATGTATTTTTCTTTCCCGTATTTGTGTCTGCTTCTGCCTGCTGAAAAGGTTGTTGCCCCTCCTCCCTTTGTATACTCTTTTGATCTGCATTTTATCTGCCGTGGAAGGGCTATGAGCAAAGGACAATGGAAGGAATAAATATATTTCTTGGGAAATAGATAACTTCCGTTAACTCACCTAGTACTGAATTGAAGGTAAGATTGGCTTTTAGTAATCTGGGGAAAATGGGGGCAGAATCTCATGTTAATGTCACAGCAGAGAAGGGCATTTGCTTACTTTCTTGTACTTTCCAGTCTTTAGAAAATATCACCTTGCCTCTTTAGCAGTGCCCTTTTTTTTAAAAAAAAACTGTGCTGTACTTAACGAGTTGACAAGTTCTGAATTGTCCTGGTTTTAAAGCCTGCTGGGAAACATTGTTTCTTCAATAAGATTAATAGACGATATTAGCTGGATAAAGGACAGTGATCTATCAGGGTCTGTGACAGGACACAGAATGCTTCTACTAATGATCATTTGATTAGAGATGTCATTTGGTACATACTGTGTTTGAATGTTTCCCTAGACTCTGCTGTGTCTAGCTAGTTAGACTTTTCCTAGGGGCCTTTTTTGGTCATCAGGCATCTGAGGTGGATAGATTTTATTTTTCTTTAATTAAAGGCAATTAGTCAATGACTCTGAACACTTGAGATGAATAAAACCCCAGGCTTGCTGGATATCCTACAGGTGCAGGAGAGATAATAGATTAGCAGATACTACCCATTCACCATTAGTACTGTTCTTGCCAAAATACAGACATAAATCTTGGTATTAATTACTATCTCATAAAAATTTGATTGAAAAACCCAAGTATTTCTCTAAACATTCTTAGAAGTTAAAGTACAGGACTAGGAATTGTCTCTCTCACTTGGCTGAGATTTAAATGACTGGGTATGAGGTGAGGGCTCCTTCCTAGAGCTGACCTGTGCAGAACAGGTGAAAATCACAAACCATCTGCTTGGCTTGTGTCTCTGCTTCTCTATACAGGTGGGATTTCAAGAACTGATGTCACACCAATTTCTATCTGATGAAAATGTTGTCCCTGAGCTGTTTTATAACTATGCTGCTGTAACGTCTTGTAATGCAAAGGGCAAATTACCAAGGGAAATTGAAAGAAAAAAGGCATTGAATTCAGACCCATTTGATTTCAGGATTCTCTTGATCAGCATGCTGCAAAGAAGCTTATACCAAACAGGGGCTGGTTTGCATTATAGCTCAAAAGCCTCAACCAGGCTTTAGACACAGACAGCACATATTTGTATGGCGCCCTTTCCCGAACAGGGATGCAGATACCAGGCGTTTGTTGCAGTTCTTAGTTTCCTGCACTGCTTTAGTTAGTCATTATATAGTTGGCACAAATGACTAATGAACTAAAGATGTGTTTGGAGGAATTCAGGTCTCATAACCAGTCTTCTGGAATTGGAAGATCCTGAGCTGGGAAAGGACAGAGATGGTGTTGTCTGGTGTTAGATATAAAATACAGGAGTCACCCACTCAGTTTATATGAGATTTCATAGAAGATGTTATGTTGTGCCAAATACTCTAATAACAGAAGGATTGGGTTGTACATGTCAGAACGTTTTTTTTTTGGAAAGAATCAGCTATGATACTCTTTTTGCTTGAAACTGCTGTTCCTCTTATTGGTGCAAAAATAAAAGAACATATGGGATACTACAGTTACCATTAAACAGAACCACTTTAATACAGAGTTACCATTTATGTTATAATAAAGACTCAAATTAAGATTGCTACTGCAAGTTTAATTTTTCATTTGAAAACATTAGTTTTACTTACGAAAGTTTTCCTGTAATCCCTACTTAGACTGCACCTTTTTTTGGAACAGTTGCCGAGTCTTCTGCTTGTGTCTGATATAAGCATGAGGGCCAGAATGCCCAAGGGCTGGGAATCCCTGTGCTGCACAAGGATGAGACCTGAGGGAAGGTTAAGGAAGACACTGCTGGTCCCTAGTTGGCATTAGAAAGAGAAAGGCTGAATGTGTTGGAGTAGCTTCCTAATGTCTTATTTAGCAATGCAAAACCAGACATTTTGGGGAGAGTAGAAGGAGTTTTGTGTTCTGATGAAGCTGATGGTATTGCAGAGATGGGTAGCCAAATAGATCAGAAGTTAGCCTTCCCACATATGAATTTCTTCCTCTTCCAGCCCATGCCCAAGAGTCCCAATACATGGCATACATTTTCAGTGTCATTACAACATTTCATTCAGATCTTTAGTGTGGAAAGCTATTCAAATGGCAGCTTACATCGTTGTGCAGAGGCTCTACGAAGGCAGCACACTAGCTAAGGAGAACATAAGCTGGGGAAACAGATTATCTGGCATCTAAAAGCACTCTTCTGTTAGCCTACTTCAGTTGCAGGTGTTGAAGCCAT